TTAAATCTCCCCTAACGGTCCGTCCTTACCTCGACTTATATAGATACAGGTTTATGTATGTACGTTCGTTTATGAAGACATAAGGAATACTATTTTAATACATATTACGACAGTTGAACTAAAACCAACCAACAACCTTGGACAACGCCAGAAATGACCTTGACTTCAAATAGTTCAAATGGTTGTGGACGGAATAGAAGAAGCTTCCGCTTAACAGGCTTCCGTGTCCAGTAGCAGGGGATCACCAAATCTTACAGACAGGAACCTAGGTATGTTAACAATAAAAGAGGAAAAAGAAATTGGTCGATCGTAGTGAGATACTATCCTTAGTCCTTAAGAATAGATCAAGTTGACTCTTAAAGGACTCCTGGGAAGTAGCTTGGACTAGCTCGGCCGGCAGAGAATTCCAGCATTTGACAACCCTTAAGGAGTAGAAGTTGTGTCTACAGTCCGTTCTGCTATGTTGTGTCTCCAGTTTTTGGGCGTTAACCCTTAGGTTAGTGTTGGAACTAAGCTTAAGTAGGTGTTTGAGAGGATGTCGAGAAGTGTTAAGGATACTATAAGCCATCAGAAGGTCACCTCTAAGACGTCTATTTTCTAATGGGTAAAGGTTAAGTGATTGGAGGCACTATGTTTCCGTACTCTAAATGGGGACGGATAAAGCTATTGAAGATTATATGGAAAGTTCTTCCGTCAAACTGGCCAAAAATGCGCTTCAACGTTACCAGTGCAAGGTTTGCTCGGAAGGAGTTTTTTTCACAGCTAGCGTACGACTTTAAATCTTAGGGCACCAGGACTCCAAAATCTCTTTCGATTTGGGATACTACTAGAGAGGAGATACCTAAGTTATAACTGTAGTCTGCAACATGTCGCAGATGGACTACGTTACACTTTGAAGTGTCGAAGGTAAGTCCATTATCGTCTGCCCAACTTTGAAGTCGAGTCAGATCCTCCTGAAGTGCCTGTATATCGTCGTGGTTGCGTATCTCTCTCCAAAGTTTCACTTCGTCGGCAAAAAGTAATAAGCCTTACGTTACCTGTTGAGGAAGATCATTTATGGAGATCAAGGGGAGAAGAGGTCCTAGTACTGAGCCCTGGGGGACCACACTAAGACATTCCATAGCCTGAGACAAATTGAAATTGACCCTGACTTTAAAATGTCGATTTTTCAGGTATGAAGTGAGCCAATCGATTAGAGGTGGTCTGATACACAATCGTTTGAGCTTATTGATAAGACGTGTATGGTTAACCTTATCAAAAGCTTTTGAAAATCTAGGTAGATGATATCAACCTTCCCCTTGTGATCGAGGATGCTTGTCCATCTGTCCACCGCAGTCAGCAGGTTGGTAATACAAGAGTAACCCTTCTTGAAACCATGCTGTTGGGGTGAGAAGAAATTTAAGGACAGTAAATAGTCATTTATGCCATCGCATATCAGGGACTCCATGATTTTTGAAGGTATTGAGAGAAAAGCCACTGGTCGATGGCGTGAAGGTTCGCTGCATCGACCTCCTTTGAAAATTTGTGTGATGTGAGCCGGCTTCCAATTTTGCGGTAGTTTTCCTCGACTTAGCGAGTGTGAGAACATCACGCTAAGCGGTGTTGCCAAGATTGAGGCTGCTTCCCTCAGTATGGCAAAATGGACTATGTCCGGGCCTGGAGAAGTGTCTATTCATAAGTGCTGCAGTTTTCGGAACACCAAGTCAGCCCTCAGGTTCACTTCGGAAAGTCCTTTGGAGGTGCAGTGAAGCTGTCATCAGTATAATTGATGCGGGTCGGTTGGAATGTCCGAGAGTATTGTTCAGCCAAAAGGTTAGCGGCGTCGACACCGTTGTTGGTCGTGCCGTTAAGACCTAGCAGTTGGGAAACTCCAGTTTTGGCTTGACAAAGAAGGGCTGCATAACGGAATAAGCTTTTAGGATTGGACGCAAATTTGTCCATAAGCTTTGTCTGGTACTGACGCCTATCTTCTCTTATAGCCTTCGTGTATATGTTCCTTATATGTTTATATTGCTTGTACGCTCCGTCGTTGTCAGCTCGTTTGTATTTCGCCCAACAGTGCCTTCTGTGGCTTAGCAGGCGAAGGGTACGGTTCTTGATTATTGTAGGTGGCTTGAAGCTTTTGGGAACCGTTTGAGGAACTGAATGGTTTGTAGCCCGTAAGAGCGTGGGCAGTAAGAAGTCCCAATAACCGTCCACATCGAGTTGAGAGTGAACATCCCAAACCACCTGTTGTAGATAGTCATATAGAGCTGGCACATATAACCGTTTAAAATTCCAACGCAAGTTATTGATGAGGTATCTAACTTAGTTTTGCTGACAAAACTGAAGGCTATGACGTCATGATCGCTTTTCCCCAGGGGAGCCAGGATTGAGAGGTTGTCAACTAGAAATTCTTCGTTTGTGAATACACAGTCTAAGCGCGATGGTGTTTGACTGTTTCTCTTTTCCCCTGTTTAATAGACTTTATTAATTATTTATTGTGTATACTAACAAGGTTTATTTGTGTTTTAGAAGCCGATCACATTTATCAAGCCAAATAGCTTACGTTTTCTGACTTTGGCTAGGCTAAGACTCTGTGTTCGATAGTCTAGAGAACAATTTAAACTGAATCTGTATAAAATTGCTTTCTATGCCGTGAGCCGTCCAATTCCTATTTTAGCATTCGCATGTGGTCCAATGCTCAAGTGGGAGAAACCTTTATGTGTATATTTTGATCATCACATAACAAAAACACCCCACGAAAATATGGCCAACTAATTCATTGATCCATTCTTGTCGTGTTGCTGCTGCCAATCAGTTGTCGTCCTCTCAATTCTTAAGACTGGTCAGAACCCCCTGAGGTCTTAAGCTGCCGTCCTTCTTGTGAAGATTTTCCGGAAGCTGTGAATTATCACCAGGACGAACTATTACGAAAGGTACCCGTCGCGAAAGGTCATTCATATAAGTCAAAGGGCGGGAATATCTTAATCCCGAACCCAGAGAGACCACATTAGGACGTTTAATATCCTGAGAAAATAATTACCATACCCTAACTAGCTAGTCACTGAAAAAAGTCAAACCGATTAATTATTTGTAGCCGAATATCTAGGTGCTTGAGTTTGGAGATTAGAACACTCTAACTGACCCAATCAAACGTTTCCCAATGGGTTCATTGTACTCTGCTGTGTATAAATTTACTACGGATAATGGAATATAGTGCTTCCAAAGTTTTGGCAGTCTGAAGATATGATTGTGTTAAACCTCAGAATGTTTTTATGTTGTAAGGACCCTTTCTGAAGTCACTGAATAGCAACAAATAATGCAGTGTTAGGTAGTAATTCTCAGTGAGTGTTTTTATCAGGCTGAGGACAAGCCTTCCACCTTACCTGTTCAAGGTCGCATTCAAATGTTTAAAACTCCTATCCATGTGATCGGCGGAATAACTTAATTCAGTTTGACAGATAAAACAGAACCATGTGGTCGAATGATCAACCTGCTTAAAGGATGAATAAGTGAGTTTGCCAACTAGGCCTTACTGCTGTGTGGACTTGGGTTGCCAGTGTATAAGTGGCTGAAACTTCCCGCTGAAAATTCATGAACTTTAAAGATTTTTTTAAAGCCTCACATAATCTTGCACAAAACTCAATTACATAAGGTCTCTCGAGTGAGTGCTCTTCGTCTCTCTCAACGATTATATAAAGTTGGGAACTCTTAGCTGAAACAGTAGCAAATTCCGAAATAATGTGGCATTTTACATAGCATGTGAAATTTTAAAGGATTAATATCGGCTTCATAGTCTAAATGAATAGGATGTTTCTCAGAACCAACTTACATGTTTTAATGTGGTCGGGTTTCCTTCTGGATGCTTCTTAAGTGTAGGTAATTATCAAAAGTTTCCACAAAGCACCAGATAAACATGCAAAGACCCAGTTGAAGATTGATAAAATATCATCATCGGATCACGTGATGGACGATTTCCGGGAGCTAAGGATGCAGAACGCTAAACCCTCAGTCATTGTACAACGCAACAAAATTTAAAGCAGTTGTGATGGGAATACTTGATTATCCAAATCAGTCAGATCTAAATGGATAGTATCAGAGAGTTGCAATATGCAGTCATCAGATATCTAAGGTTTGAGAACCCTAGTTGATTAATAAAGATTCCCTTTCTGTTTAATGTATTACTCAGCACTCCGCGACACAACAGTCGTCAACACTCACAAAAAAATTATAGGCGAACAACCAACGGAATTTCAAAGTGACAAAACAGAAATCAATCGCTTGTGCACTAACTCCTGTGTTACTGTCTCTTATTTTATCTGGGAAGTTTTATTCATCAGAGTGACTGCTTTGTTAGTGGAAGAAGGAAGATAAATCTAGGCATATTGTTTCAAAAGAAAAGGGGTATCAAATGGCATCAAATGATTTGTATTTCTTAATACAGGTGAAGTAAACTGGAATTGATCCGAGTGAACTCGATGACAATCAAGTCGATGTGGAGGTCTATAACTAATTACCATGTGACAGATTTCTGCTATTTTATCCACAGATATAAAGTTAACTGGTAACTTCTTAGCAACCCGTGGTGTTCGTAAAACTCTTGATCATCTATTGAAACTTCGTCAAACTTACATCCTAAAAACTAGATGACCATAAACAAACAGCTAGAAATGGATTAGAGCTGCGTATATTAGTTATTACTTCTTGGTATTCGCCTAATATTACAGCACTCTCAGCAGCCCTATTCTCTTCCTCGAAATTTCAACTCAGTGCTTTACTGAAGACTCAATTATTAATTTTCAATTATATAGAACATTTTTCTTCAATGTTTCCCTTTCTACTTTCACATACTCAGTTGTTGAATAGAATGTAATTAAAGTGTACGATTACACTAATTAAAAGCTTGCTTTGTGTAAGTTTATATTCCATTTCTAGTCATCTGAAAATTTTTAACTTAGGAAATTTGTTTATTCTCATGAACCAACTTTCGTACCTCACGTTTGAAAATAGCGTTCCTGATGTCTGAACGTGATGGTATGTTGTCTGTCTAATCTAGGCCTACATTGAGTCCGTTATGTTTTTTGTTCTTATTTCTACCTTTTAAATAGAGGTGTTTAGGTAATTTCTAATGTTTTCTGCTAATAATGTTGACAAATTAAAGATGGTACAAAATAACCTAATGTATTCGAGTACATCAAGTTATTATGTACCAACACTGGGTATTAATACCCGTTTTTAGTGTTCTGTTTCGCGTGTCTGAACTTAACTTAGGTTGGATTTTTGTATCAAACCGTTCCAGGTGACCTAACTAATTAAAAAAGTCTTTACAACTTAAAAAACATTGAGCGGGGAAATATTATAGATTTTTACGGAACCCTCATTGAAAATAGCTGGCCCAAAAGGTAATCCAACGAGCGTCTTTCATTCGTTTAGACTGTATACAGTTAGCGGGTGGGTCGTTTTACGTTCATACTGATGACGGGGAACGGTCCTGTCTTAAGTGATTCTAGTCCTGTCACAAACTCAGTAGTCCTAGTGGAGTCTATAGTTCTTTGGATCTTAGTGTATTTCAGCGTAGTTGCTTCTGCCTCTTATCAACAGGCTGAATTTGGTGGCTTAGTGAACCTGTAGCCATGTGTCACAAAGTACGGGGTTTTGTTCATTTAATAGATACCCATACATGGTGTTGCTACTGGATGTCAGCAATCCTTCGGAGACAGCGATGATCAAACACAGAGTCGTCTAACATCCTCAACTCGGAGAGATCAGGTTTCACAAACATAGAGCAGAACTGCTCTCACCGACGCGTTGTAGATCCAACCTTTTACAGCCAGACTAACATCACGAAGGCGCCAAAGATGGCCCAGATTGGCATAAGCCGCTCTGGCTTTCACTATTCGTGCATTGATCTAGCCTAGAGGCTAGCTCGGTTCGATACTTACTTGCAACAGAAGTTGCAACCAGCTTGCTATTATCAATCCGTTGATGGCGGTCACTTCGTTGGCCACTGAAAAGTAAGGCGCGATTGGCGCAGACCAAGGCATGGTCAGAGTCCAGATAGGTACTCTGAAAGGAGCGGCAGTTTTGTACACAACCACGCCAGCGGTAGCTGATCGCGATGTGATCAATCTCAGTCCAGGCTTGAGATGCAGAGGGAGGACTCCAGGTGGCACATCGGCGATGACTGTTCCGAAAGTTAATGCTAGCCAGAAACAGGTTGTGGTCTGTGCAAAGTTGCAGTAGACTGTCCCCGTTATCTGTCCTGCGACCAACAAGTTCCCGACCGTTGTTGCTACCTTGACGTGGTGGTCGGGCTGGCCTATCGTGATGAAGCAACCGAGCTATATTGGCTGGAACAACCGTTCCTCAAGGTCCTACCATGTCAGACAGGTCGGTTGAAGAGCGGTAAGACTAAAAGCAACAAACCCAAGGTCCGAAGGCGAAGTCGTACTGCTCACTGTACAGAGGTGTGACAGCAGTAAGGTGTTTCCTTCAGACAACCAGCATGACAGCGATGCTGCCTTCCCACAAGGAGGGGTGGGGTTAGAAAAGGTCGACCCTAAAAATGCACACCTCGCCTTATCCCACGGATATCCGTCTCCGGCGGTAAGGTCTCAATAAGTACGGAGCTAACACAAAAATTACCCATAACAAGGTCGTGTGTGACCGACCTCAAGCAGTTGTCCCTTGGGCACTGCGGTCACGCTCTCAGGTCACTAAGACCACCTTTAATCCAAATTCCTTTTCAGGTACCCCCAGAACAACCCTTCCACGGTGTGGGCAACCGGGAAGTGAAAACCGCCCTCATACCTCTAACAGCACTCAAGACCACTGTATTCATAATCAACCTTCCTCTTCAATTCCTATTATTCCTCCTACATCGACTTTCACGTTTAAATTTCCTCTCTCGGCTTCCACCTCAAGTGTCACCATAGCCAACGATTCTAGTGCGCAAAATACTGTCCCAGGTCTACTGAAACCTCGCTCCAAACTACACATTGGAGCCTTCAACGTACGAACCCTATGTCAAAGCGGTCAGCAGGCTTCCTTGGCTAAAACCCTAGAGTCTCTTACCATTGACGTGTGCTGTGTCTCCGAAACACGCATACAGGATTCCAGTGTGGTCATTCACTTGACCTCACCTCGGCTAAACGGAGAGCCAACGAGGTACACCCTTCGTGTATCTGGTGACCCGATGGCAAGTTCTCGTGGACTGGCAGGTGTAGGCATAGCACTAAGCATGAGGGCGGAACAAGCACTGCTAGAGTGGATCCCCGTCAACAGTCGTCTATGTGCTGTTCGGCTGAACGGCTACGTAAGAACTCGGAAGGATAGGAACACATGTCGTTGCCTTTTTGTCGTTTCTGCCTACGCTCCCACTGACTGCAGCTCAGATGATGTGAAAGATGAATTCTACAGTAAGCTGTCCGAACTTCTTCAGAAAGCTAAACGCTCAGACATAGTACTCGTAGCAGGTGATTTTAATGCTCAGATAGGCAGTTTAAACCAAACAGAAAGGCATTTAGGTGGATATTTTAGTATTCCGACACAGCGAACAGATAATGGTGATCGTCTGTTGCAGCTATGCTCAGACAATCGTTTATTTTTAGCAAACACAAATTTTAAGCATAAGGAGAGACATCGTCTAACATGGCGACCCCCTACACCAAACCAACGATGGACTCAAATAGACCATATTGCCATCAGTCATCGTTGGAGAGGGTCGGTAGATGATTGTCGCTCATTCTGGAGTACCTGCTTGGACTCCGACCATGCCCTAGTACGGGCACGCATCTGCTTGCGCCTCACTGGACGCAAAAAAGCCACATTAAAAAGACCCGTTAGAACTGAGTTAAGTAACGAGAAAACCAGAAGTAGGTTCCAGGAACAACTGAGGTCACACTTAGGTAGTTGTGAAGACGAGGCTGACCCAGATGTTGCTTGGAAGGGCATACAATCAGCTGTGGAAACAGCAGTGACATCTATTAGTGACTTAAACCACAGAGTTGTAAGGAACCAGTGGATTTCTTCAAGGTCTGTCACACTGATGGATTCTCGCAAACTCGTCCCATCAGGTTCTGAACATGATGAAGAGCGAAAACAAATCAGATCTAGGTTAAGAAAAAGTCTAAGAAACGACCGTGAGCAGTGGTGGGCATCGAAAGCAAAAGAGATGGAAAAGGCGGCGACTATAGGGAACACAAGACAGCTTTACAGACTAATAAAAGAAACTGGAATTAATAAGTCAAGTGTAAGTGAGATTATATCGGAAAAAGACGATACACTCATCTGCTCCAAGTCCAGGCGTTTAGAACGATGGGCGGAACACTTTAGGGAACAGTTCAGCTGGCCTTCAGCTACTCTACAACTACCCTCCATTCCCAGACAGTGTGAATGGAACATTGAAGTAGTTCCCCCGACTCTTGCTGAAGTTCAAAAGACTATAGTTAATCTGAAACGAGGAAGGGCAGCTGGTCCAGATGGATTGGCTCCAGAGGTCTTTAAGGATGGTGGTCCAATTTTAGCGATTAGGTTGACTAATATTTTAGCTAAGATCTGGGAGTTAGACGTTATCCCATCTAACTGGTCACAATCACTTATCGTCCCAATATATAAGAAAGGGTCAAAATCATCCTGTGACAACCATAGAGGGATTAGTTTAACAAACATAGTATCTAAAATACTGGTCTCGATAATTATCAAACGCCTAACTAAGACTCGTGAACTACAAACTCGAGAGAACCAAGCTGGCTTTAGACCTGGTCGTGGCTGCATCGACCACATATTCACCATTCGTCAGGTTCTAGAACACAGGCATACCTATCGGCGTCCGACGATGGTGGTATTTCTCGACTTAAAAGCAGCATTTGACTCGGTAGACCGCGAGACTCTGTGGCAGTGTCTGTCATTGAAAGGCGTACCTCAGAAGTACATAAACCTTGTGAAGGCTCTTTACTCGAACACTACTAGTCGAGTCAGGGCTTATGGCGAACTGTCATCTACTTTTGCAACCTCAAGTGGTGTCCGTCAAGGCTGTCCACTTTCTCCATTTCTGTTTAACTTCATCATAGACCTATTGATGGAAATAACACTCTCGTCGACTGAATTCTCGGGTATTGATCTCCTTCCAGGAGGTCCACTTATCGACTTAGAATACGCAGATGACATAGTCCTGTTTGGTGAAGACGCTGACAAAATGCAGAGTCTTCTGGCAGCACTAAGCAACAATGCCAGAATGTTTGGGATGCGCTTCTCTCCCTCTAAATGCAAGTTGTTGCTTCAGGACTGGTCTGGGTCAACACCTGAACTAAGGATAGGGAGTGAAGTAGTTGAACGCGTTGACAACTTCACTTATTTTGGAAGTCTGATTAGCCCTAATGGGTTGGTGTCTGACGAAATCTCAGCACGGATTCGAAAAGCTCGTTTGGCTTTTGCCAACTTACGTCATCTTTGGCGAAGGCGAGATATCCGTCTATCAATAAAAGGGCGAGTATACTGCGCGGCAGTTCGTTCTGTTTTACTTTACGGCAGCGAAACATGGCCCTTAAGAGTAGAAGACACCCGTAAGTTACTAGTATTTGACCACAGATGCCTTAGAAATATTGCTGGCATCTGCTGGGATCACCGGGTAAGTAATAGTGAGGTTAGACGCAGGGTATAAGGGAATGATGGTAAATCAGTTGATGAGGTTATGAATCTTCGTCGACTGAGATGGTTGGGCCACGTATTACGTATGCCTGAACACCGATTACCACGACGTGCAATGCTAACCGGGGTAGGGGATGGTTGGAAGAAAGTTAGGGGCGGCCAAACCAAAACGTGGCATCAGTGCCTGAAGTCACTAACTTCTAGTCTGAGCCATGTTGGTAGATGCAGACTACTTGGTTGGGGTCCGCGTGACTTTCGTAACCAATGGTTGGAGACTCTTGGCGACATGGCTCAGAATCGATCACAATGGCGTCGGTGTATACACTCCCTGTCTTCTTTTAAACTAAGAGACTAAAATCACTTCATTCTTTCTGTCTACGAACTAATTCTTTCTTCCTATACTATATCCTTATTGCAACCTTTGACCTAACCACTCCTATGAATCCGCTGTTCATCTTGCTGTGCTAATGAGGTATGGCAACCTGGACCGATGCACATATGTGCCTGGTCCTACGTTGTAGCTGACTGACTGACTGACCAACAAGTTCCCATCGGCCACCTAAACGACTCTCTTCTGTTCCTAAACCCCCAACCTGAGCATTTAAGTATCCGGCTAGTACTACAATATCTGTCGAACGCACTTTCTGGAGAAGAACAGATAACTGGTGGTAAAACTCATCCTTGATTGCATCCGGGCTGCAATCTGTCGGGGCATAGGCGGAGATGACGAAAAGACATCGTTTCTCACGCCGATTTCTTCTCACTTTGATAGAACTCTCCAATCTAACAGCACATAACCGACTGTTAATGTGGATCCAATCGATTAGTGCTGCCTCAGCTCTAGCGCTTAGTGCGACACCAACGCCAGCAAGACCAGACGAAGATGCCATAGGGTCCCCGGATAAGTGCACGTAAAAGAAGCTTTTTGAAGTGACAGATGGAGAGCGAATTTGTAGTACTTCACTAGAGTCTTGAACAGGGGTCTCGGATAGACAGCAGACATCGATATGAAGACTTTTCAAAGACAACCAGCCCTAACTGTTGACCAACTTGCATAAGTGTGCGAACGTTGAAGGCAGCCAGTTTGAATGGCGCACGTAGTTTCAGAAAAACTGCTTCAGTACTCATATTCGGTGGTAACATACAATTTTCAACCGGACAGTGACTTGAGAACGTTTAGATACAGTCGAATTTCCACCAGACGAGCCGCTGTATAAGTATAAAAGAGGGTGAATAATGTGGAAAATAATAATAATAACAATAATGATAATAATTTGAATCAATTGATTGTTTTTCGAAGCGACAAAAGTAATTTCCATAGACAGAGAGTTCATCATTTGTGTGTGGGCTGTGATACTGCCCGGGTGCCCAAACCGAAGCAGATGGTTATCTTAGGGGGCCACTCCCCGAGCCTTTGACCTAAAGGTCTAACCCACAAGGCAGTGGAGCATCGTAAGGAGATGCACTCCCATGGAAGCCGGTGACCAACAATTGGTTCATACGCCATTTGTTCCCGCAGGATACTGGAGCCCATGTGCACCATTGGTTTGTGATCCGGTTGAAGCGCCGGACATTCGCTTTTCGTCCTCTCATTTTCGTAAACAACACCCCCGCCACGAGAAGGCAATGAGTAGGACTTCCCTGGCAGAGGCTATATACGCGCGGCCGTGTGAGAGTATTTCGAGAGGGGGAGCGGACTCTCCTCACTCTCGGCCGTACCAGGGCATTCAGGGGGCTAATAAATAAAAAAATAAAGCTTTTGAAGTGGATAAATTTATGTTTATTCACTGTATCGAAGTTTAAGTGGGATGTAATATACTTATATCCAGGTCTTTGTTGCACTAATTATAGTTACTGAAATGTCCTGAATTTGCTAGAATACCACACCATAGCGCGCAATATAATAAGGCTTCAGTAAAGGATCTGTGTATCTTACTGATTGGTTTTAAAAATATTCAACGTTAAATTGCATTAGCTCACTCATTATGTACTTGTGTATGAGCCTCACCTTAAGTGTGAGGACTAATACTACTAAGTTGCCCTGACCAATGTAGGTGGGGCGGGCCCGAACCCAAAAGTATGTGCTTTTGTAACTAGAATTTCAAATGTTGGAAATTATGGGCTGAAGACTGTAGGCAATGTAAGTGAAATCATAGTTATACAAATGTATCTGTCTTTCTCCACATATTTTACGTAAGGTTTGTGCGCATAGATGTTTACTATCCCTCTATCACTATCAGTTAGTATCCACTATATTCCTTTTGTAACACCTTGTCTACTATCAATAAGTGTAGTAGCTTGAACGGACATATTAGTCCGAAATTTTTTGGTTCTGTTTATCTGTTGTTAACCTTTACAGCTTCTGTATAGAAATTCAATAACAACTCCATTGTCTTTCCGACTTATTTTGCCATTCCTCGTACTTTTAACAGATCACATTCATGCGACTAAAAAGTTCAAACACAGTGAATGCAATGAGGAATCAAATGAAAATCATGACAGGCGCAAACAAGTTGATGCACATGTTCAAGCCTTCCTCAAGGCTGTGCTTGATCATGCTCATGGTGGTACTGTCAGGCAAACAAACAATCCAAACAAAAAAGATAAATCTGTGATAAAAAAGGATGCTTCCACTCAGACAGAAGAACAGAATGACTTTGAATCGTGTTCGTACAACCCAGATCAGTCAGTTTCTGAATATCTGGGTTGCAACAAAAATGAAAAAAGTAGTCGAGTTCCTAATCGAGAAATGTACAGCGAGGAAGCGCTAAATTTACTTTCCCAACAAAGTTTTTATTCTGAAGAAGCACAAAACGATCTCTCTTTTAATGACAACTCCACCCACTGCTATTCCACTCAATGTGATACTGGTCTCTTAAATCATGGTGTTAGTAATAAGAGTGCCCGCATTTCTTCTAATAAGATCAAAAGAGCAATAGACGAATGGGTTAGAAAATATGAAGATTGGTTTTTCCAAAACTTTGGGATGGATGTACGAACGGCTTCCCATTCAATTGAATCAAAACCTGAGAGTGAACTCAAACAAAGTTCAGAAGTAATTATTGGTGCTCAAAAATTGTTCAACACTAATCCATCCGATTCTCAAATGCTAAATCCTTGCGTTATATCACACTCACCTGTAAGTTATTTCATCCCAGAGGGTTCGTTGTGCACAATCGATGGTAGGTTTTCACCATACTACTCCCTCGTCCCTTCATTTTACGTTTCCCCAACTTTAAGCAACACCCCCCTTGGTTTACACTCTAATGTGACAGCTTTCAACTTCGGCGTTGGCCTACCATTGTATCCAAATCATACATTTATACCTACCACCATTAATACAACCATGCCTAATGCAGTCGTTTCGTATCCATCGAATTTCGCCAACCAGCTAGGTGCTTCTACAATGTCATTTCCACCAAACGTAACCAGCACCACTGCAACGTGCAACACAACAAGCTTTCATGTAGGTACATCCTTTCCTATACCTCCGACTATTCAACACAATCACTGCATCACCTCCTTCGCAGATCTGCCCAGTGAGTTACAAACATCTGCAATGCTTGCCACTTTAGCCCTTCCAGTTGCTGACAGTCAACATAGCTTAGGTCAGTGGGGACCACATTTGAAATATGGTACTTATGGTCGGCTCCCATCTCCCCTTGACCTAGAAGCTTTTAATTCTCATAGGCAGTTATCTGAGTTCGGACAAAATCAAACAAACCAATTATCCTATTCATCGCCTGATTTATCAAACAAATCTCCCACCGCTCCTAATAAATCAGTGAAAATGCCTCCTCCACCCCCCACCTTCATTCTTTTAAGAAGGCAAGCCATGGTCTGTGCACTCCAGGTAAGTGAGCGTAAGATGTACATTTTCCTTAACTCACCAGTGGCCATCGTCTTAGTCCCACTTTGCTACGATGCATTAAAAGTGTAAGGTGGCATCAGTGTTAGTGCCCCAATGTAATGTATTTACTACCTTATTGATATTAGATCCCATAATTCATTTCTTCGTTCTGTAGTCCGTCTATTTGGGCTAACGCACATTTTTACCACACTGTATATTATGACTAAGCTTTTTTCAATAATTGTAACGACATAAAGTAATGGTCTGCTTAATTTTTATTTTTTATCGTTGTAAGATAGACTAGTCAAAAGCTTATAGTGCCAATTTAGTAACAAAATTTAAATGTTAATACGACTTATTTCATGATATCATTAGGTTTGTCAGGTATTTACGGGATAATTTTCAGTCACCTAGGTATCTTCATGTTAAGATTTTCTTATCAGATACTAGATTTTGGCTAATAGCTTGACAAATAAAAAATACATCTTACAGTATGAGTTACTTCTTATTGTTCTATGCAATTCATATGTTATTTGTTTATTTAAACATAAACATTAGTAAAAATGGGCACCGAATACATATGCGCCGCACAAGTCACTTGATTTGCGTGTGGGCTGTGATACTGCCCGGGTGCTCAGACCGAAGCAGGTAGTTCCCTTAGGAGGCCACACCCGGAGTCTTTGACCTAGAAATCTGATCCACAGGGCAGTCGAGCAACGTTATGAGATGCAGTCCTATGGTAGCCGGTGAGCAACAATTGGTTCGTACGCCATTTGTTCCTTCAGGATTCTGGAGCCCATGTGCACCATTGGTTTGGAATCAGGGTTTTCCGAATCCCCTAGGCAAACTTTCCATACGCACCAACCTGGTTAAAGCGCCGGACATTCGCTTTTTGTCCTCTCAATCTCGTAAACAACACCCCCGTCGCTAGGCGGTTAATAGGACTTCCTTGGTAGTTGCTATATGCACGCGGCCATGTGAGAGCATTTTGAGAAAGCTGACTCTTCCCACCCTCGGCCGAACCAGCGCATTTGGGGGTAGTTCATATGTTAGTTACATCTACCCATACTGGCCTACCACATAATTCAATAAAGCCTTCTGGGCTTCTCAAATAAATTCCAAATCCAATAGTTTAAACCTAAGCTTAACCACATAATCTCTGTTCCATTTAACAGGGCATAAGCACTTGGTTAATATTTCTAATCCGTACACAATGAATACCCTTCTCAGTCTGATGTACATTGGTTATAGTTCATTCGCCTAATACAAATATATGTGATACTAACTGGCTAGCTAAATTGACGTGAACGAAGGAGGATCGAATTTGCAGTTTGACAGTTGGTAGCCAGGTTCTTGAACCGTCACTAATAATACATCTGCAATCAGTTATTTGATTGTTTAGTTTATTCAGTTTAATTTATTGAAAAAAATTATTATCGTCTTAATCAGAAAAAATCTTTTCAACATTGTAAGCTTAAAGGATTATAAAAGGCTAATGTAACTATCTTGCACCCACACTACACATTAAAGTCCTCAGGTTCAATATTTAGTTGAATCACGTATACATTCCACAACCGGTGTTTATTATCTCTGTTAGCGGGACATAGACCGGATTAAAGCTCGCTCAATTCACGATTGCTTGCTGCACGCTGATTGGCTAATTCTTATCCAATCAGCACTAGTCGATAGTTGGAGAATACTCTAGAATCTTCTCATGTAAAAAACTATAAATATACTGACGTTTTCTCTATTGTACTTCTGACTTGCTTCTTACTTCCATCTAACCTTGTTATTTGGAATATAATCTCTTTCCTGTTCAACCGTGTTTTGATTTGGGGACTTGTCGAGTGAATCGGTGTCCGAGAATACTAAGCAATAGGAATAGCTGGGTCATAACCGTAAGAAGAGAGATTTATAACAATCTCAAAAATGCTTAAGAAAATACGACTAGACTGGGAAGACTATTTTGGGTAGTCAAGTATTAAATATCCCTCAAAAGAACATTAAACTTTAACGAGAAGTGTTTATCTGTAAAGAACTGATGTCTGATGTATTGCCAAATTTGTGCGTTTTCAGAATATATAGAAAGCTCTGTTTGGTTCATTTTCTGCAGAACTATCATCAATGTGGTTCCGATAAGATCTTCATTGCATATTTTTATGAAATCGAAGCGAACTTGCGTTCATTTTGCTGCTACCATACTCTTGAGTATTCATTAAGAAGTGTGATGCCAGGCTTAAAACGATCAAACTACACTCTTGTGAGCTAAATTTTATTTGTTGGTAAATCTATTTAACATCGTAATTGTCCTATATCTTGAGAAATGTTGGTAACATTACATTTTACTCTCATCTTCGTTCAACATACAAACTTAATGTCTATCAATTCATTCATCCCACCATCTGTCTTTAATTCAAAGCTATGTTGTCGGGAGCGTGGAAGTGAACTATTTCTTCGTGAAAAGGAAAGTTGTAGTGGCTTATCCATCGACTTTGTGAAGGAACTAGCCCAAGTAGTTGAATCCAGTATTGGCCTTCGACCCACATATATTTTTACAAGAATCACAGATCTTCCCCAGAGGGAACGTTCCTTTTTTCTGAATACTGAAGTTCAAAAATATCCTCAAAATCACCTGTCTTCTGTAAGTGTTTTTTCGTAACTTTACGCTTTTAAGTTATCACTACTAATCGTCTTATTGCAGTTTGCATAAAACCGTTAACTAGACTAAATTTTATGTTCCTCGATGATTATTAGTGAGATACATCGACGATAGTTTAGACAGAAGAGAGTTTACTCAGGATTGTGAATATTTTGCTGATTATTAAATGAGATGCTGTGTTCATGGCCTTCTACAGATATCCAAATATGCTATATCTACTGAAGAGCTACTAAGCACTATGTTCTTTCGTGTTTTATAGTTGATAGTGTTCAGTCAGGACTAAGTTCAAACAATAATTTGATCAGCATTTGCGGTCATTTCTTGCAAATAGACGTTGCTTCTTTGTGTCGTATTTGTTTTCCTGAGAATATCTTGAGTATTTTTGGAGGTGTGAGGGTGACTATCCCATACCGTGAAAGAATACTTCTTGAGATGTCTGGAAAGTAAACTGGGTTAGAGGGTCATAAAACCTGGAGGCGTGATCTCAGAGCTTAAGGGAAAATTGCTTGAAGTCAGTCACAGCCTTTTTGCGATTGGTTTCATGCGCGTTAGTTTCGTATTTTTAAGCCCTTACAAACCGACGTTACTTGCTTGATTTATTTTCTTATCTACATAGATTTCAAATACCGAAAAATCATTTGATATCAAACAATTAATTGCTTGTGATCTTTTGATTGGAGATGTGCTAATTGCAGAATCACTTTCTGCGTCTAAATCCCTCGCACAAATCTGCACTGCGCGACAGGTATGACAATTTAGTTAGCTTATTGTTATGAATATTCACATTTATTTGAAGATAATTTTAATCACTAACTGACATCAGTTGACGAACCATAACAGATACTTGATTGCTATCTCTTTTTAGTTCGTGTATCTCTGAGAGACCCCATTTAAAAATAATATCTTAGTGCTTTCCAAAACTCTTAGGTTTACTTACATACAAATTGTTACTGTCAACCTTGAGCTGCTTGTTGTATGACGGCTGGTAATACAACTTGTTTGTTGAACACATAATTGATGTAGTGAAATTTGGACGCTTTACTCTAATGGAAATTTACGTGCTGTGACATTCGCTTAGCTAATGGTCGTCCAAATATCATCGGATAATTAAGTAGAGAAATCCTCACATCCACTTGACTGAATAGATACATTCACTGTCTACAAAATTCAGTCATGCTACTCTAATTTTTATCACTTTTTCCTGAGTAGTGATAATTGAAAGTGTCGATTTAGCTAGAGTGAATTATTTGCATTATTAAAAACCAAAGTACTGGAAATCATGAAGAATATCTTTCAGTAGTACTTAAATATCTCTTTATTCTAATTAATTCTAATTTGTTTGTTTCCCACGTAGTAGGATAATAGCTTCGTTTATTTTGGTTTGGCTATTGTTTAAGTCAAGCACATCGTTGAGCAGCATAATACTCTTTCTTCTAAAGGTCGTTGAAAACTAAATGCTTAGTTATAGAGATCAGTATAAGTTAGATAACCGTTGAAAACCTGAAAGCACTGGGCAGCTGATAAATGTTGTGCCGTTGCATTTATCAACAACGGTCGGGTTTTGTTCTCTCTACCCATGATAAAGTTACGTAGTTTGTCTCCTGAAATTTTTATTTGCGACATATATCTCCATGTATTTAAAACTTTAATATAACCATTCTCTCGCTTGTATTCTAGGCCTTTCAGATTTTATCTCGACCTTGTTTCCTCGTCGGATCTGTACGTCAATGGGAGGAGGTGGAATACTTGGTTTTATGTTTAAGTCCGAAAGCAGAAATAGTTCCTAAACTATCTCCATTTCTCAAGGATCCTTTTGAATCCGACTTCGAAAAAGATGGTGATTTCGAGGGTGATGAGAGCATCACCACAGTATTCACCCCTAAACCATTTGATGATATGTGGATTTACCTAGCGCAACTTCCAAAAGAAAAATTACATGATCAGGTACTAAATTCTTATTATTTATTACTAACGGCATTAGGAATGTTACTGAATTAGAAGAAAATAAGTAATGTTTGTGATTATGTTCGTCTAAACTCTTATCTTAGTAAATAGTTTTCAGTTGATGCATCATAATAAAAACGATGTTCTAAACTCTTTATTCGTGCTTCCTGTATTATAGACGTTTTGTACGACTCAATCTAACTGCCAGAAACTTCATGAAAACAATCTCATATCTTGGTCTTATCATCTTTAACCTTTTTAACAGCTTTTATGGTACCTAACGTGATTCTACATGAGAAGAGGAGGCTGAATCTGTGTAATACCTATTCTATTCATATCGATAGATAGAGGCTCAATACTTTATAATCCTATTTATCACATTCATCTAGTACTTTGTGGACTTGCTGATTCAACCATGATCAAACACTACTTAAAAGACACTCATGATTGAATGTCTTCAAACTACCCATGTTTATGATCTAATATGTAGTGGACTTATAAAATATACTCTCTGATAGATAGCTGAACGTTACCCGCGTACAACATTTGTTGGCAAATTTCAAATGTGGCTTTTATCCCCTTTGAGACGTCAGGTAACAATCAACCAATGCTGATAATGCTCCCAAGATAAATGGATTACCAAGCACGCTCAGTAACCTTGTTCCCTATTCCAAGTTGCGGATAAACACAGATCATTCCTAAGATAAAATTTGTACTGTCTTTAGGAAGCCACATCTCTGTACCCTGATCGAACAGGACTACGTAATTTACACACTCCGATTCAATGAAAGTATCTTCTGTCATGAGACTGAATCGTACAAGTGGAACTTAGTTAATATCTACATAGCCTCTGCCAGGGAAGTCCTACTCACCGCCTTCTCGTGGCGGGGGTGTTGTTTACGAAAATGAGAGGACGAAAAGCGAATGTCCGGCGCTTCAACCGGAATCCAAACCAATGGTGGACATGGGCTCCAGTATCCTGCGGGAACAAATGGCGTATGAACCAATTGTTGGTCACTGGCTTCCATGGGACTGCATCCCCTTACGATGCTCCACTGCCTTGTGGATCAGACCTTCAGGTCGAAGGCTCGGGGAGTGGCCCCCTAAGAAAACCACCTGCTTCGGTTTGGGCACCCGGGCAGTATTCCAGCCCTCACACATCGAATGAGATTTGTGTGGCGCCTATGTATTTGGTGCCTCCTTGTACCAATATCTATGTGTTAAAATAAATAATAAATAAATTAACAACTAGATTCATGAAGAAATCAGTAAAAGTTGATGAAATGAACTTTTCTAACATAGTTACTTTCATTGACAACACTGCTTAGTTATTAAGATTTTCGTGATTAATTCATTACGACCTGTTTCTCAATATCACTTGAAATTACTTAGCCTTCAATGCCTCGCTAAAAGAGTAATTTGTCCAGTTCAAACCCCTAAGTAATTGATCAGGCATTTTAATGTTCTTAGATCCTTACCATAATCAGAACGCATCAAAATAATTCTTACAACACCATAACTTTTCTCTAAATCATATCGTTAGCACTTTTATTTTGGAGCTGCTCTCTCTATGTTTAAAAATGGCGCTTGTAAAAATCAAACAGTTGCCACACTACAATGAATCAATTACATGTATCGTTATCTTCTTGATCTCTTACAGTGCCATCCATTCAGAAAGCGCTCTCAACAATATCTAGCTATCTCAGTTCGATTGTAATATAGGTTAACAACAGTAATTAAATAAACAAATGGAATACTTATCTAACATAAACACTGGGATTTACCAGTTCTTCAAACTGTATTCGGTTAAAAAACGCTCAATCTGGCGTAGTATATTTAGCTACACACTTAACATTTTATCGTCCTTATAAATAATCAAATCGTTCTTTTTATCAAATTTGATAAAATTGAAATCTCTGTGTCAACAGTCCTCATTTATCAAAATATGTCATCTAACCACCAATCAGTGTATGTTCATATTTTTTGTTATAGTTTGCCCAATATTCTAATATAAAGATCTTTACATTTACCACTATGACGTTTTAGCATCCTCATCCATATATCTGTAATTTACTGTTGATTTTGTAAAGGTTCATCTAGAGAGAATTTTGGCCCAGTCTGCTGAATTCAGTCAAATGCTTGTCAGCTTTGAATTTGAAGTGCAAACAACCACTGGTCAAATTATATGCAATACATTAATTGATAATCAGCGTTGTTTAAGCGTTGAAAGTCCAAATCTTCATGGTGCTCAGCAATCGGCACTGAGTAGTCTATTGAATAAATTATGTGCTACTCAACCTGTGGTTGGTTTAATATTCTCACGGGAAGGTAAAGTTGCCATAGGCCAGTCATCAGCTGTATTTTTTCCCTTAATTGACTGTAGTTTTTGTAATTGTACCTTTAATACATTACCAATTGTACTGTTTTCTGAATATACGAATATATTTCTTCAGTATAAAACTGTGCCTTGTTTCAATCAGTATTCTTTTTTGATCATTTCTTTCTCTTTGTATATATGTATGATTCAAGTGCGTTGTCTACTGATCTTTCTGTTTGATTTGTTCTAATTTTCCCTATATATATATATATATATATATATATATATATATATATATATATATATATATATATAGTTGCCATTATCCTGAATCGACGATGATAATATTATCGATTCACCTGGAAACGATTGAACAAAAATCGGTTTTATTTTGTTGCTATGATCTCAAGTTACCGACGTTATTTCTCACTCTTCTGTTATTGCTATGTGGTCTAACGTGTCACATGACGAAGGAATTTAATTATTGACTGAAATAATTATTTTTTATAATTAGGTAAACCATACTGATGAGTCTCACTTCAAAATTCGGTTTGCCCCATACTTGCTATACTCAGTAACATTGCATTTCGTAACTTAGCTTTATATCCTAAATCTGACTTTAGATAACCGTTTAGCTACCAATCCCATCGATATAAATTTTTTCAAAGATAGATGTGTATTAACTGTTTGCTAAATATTTGCTTATTCTCACGTCACGAGTATTTTTAAATGCAATCCTCATTTCGATTTTTTTCAAAAATTGCTAACAGTTTGATATCGGCTTTTTTGACAGTTAAAAAGTACTCTGGTTGTATTAGTATATTGACGTCAGGCTATGTCATGAGAAGTTTGGACTTTTTATCCATGTCTTCAGTCAAATCTGGTTTCGGTTCAGTTTACCACACTATTCAGAACAATCATCACAAGTCTCATCTATTGCAGTAATTGTAAATAATTAAGTCCATTACCATCTTTCAACAAACTATTAGTAATTGGGTCTATCTCGTAGTACACTTATAAATGGTAAATTCTTTCTCAAATTTCCTTAATTATTTGTTAACGACTTATATTCAAATTTTTCCCACCAGTAACAAAAACAGAATGCACACTACTGGAGGGTCTCGTACTAGTATAAAGTGAACGTCCAATGCTTCCGGGTTTTCAGTGGTTGTCTTACTTGCATCGCTTTGTGATTTGAATAAAACCCAACAATCACCATAACCCCATACTGACAGAGATCATTACAATTTTCCCAGACAAAGATCTCACAATCTAAAACTTGTGTATTAGAGTTCATTTTAAGCCGCATACTTATTATCTGATTATGACGTCTAAGTTATTTGATCCAGGTGGATTGTTTCAGTAGAGATAACTCCAAACAGCTTAATTAACTGCTCCTCGAATTAAGGTGGATGAGACATGTGTTACGTGTACCCAATCACCTGTCCTGACAGGCTATATTGTTTTGTGTAGGAGCAGACTAGAAAAAAGCTAGCAGATGTCAAACCAAGACCTGACCCCAGCCCATGACGAAATTGATTATTAGACTTAGTCTTGTAGGTAGGTTCAGGCTACCTGGTGGGGATCCCCGTGATTATTGTAACCGATGATTAGCAACTTTGAATAGCATGAGTCAAGATCGTTTGCCTTAAGCCAGGTGCATTCACACTTTGTCTTCCCCTGGATCCTAAATTGCTAATAAATATCTTTTTACGAATTTATATTTTTTTCTCAAAACCATCTTCAATGCCTAATTCTCCTATCACCACTAATACTGTTACTACCCCTGCTACTCTAGGATTAGCAAATCCACCTCACTGTACTAATGGGGCACCGATGTACACACTTTCCGGATTCTGCGGTGCATTTGACTAACAAGTTATGTCGAGAGTAATCGCTGTCCCTACTTTCACATACATTTCAGCCTAATGGTTTTCAAGGGCTGATTTCCAACATTAATAATAAAATACAAGCAGAGTTCTCTGTTACTGTAGCATTTCTCATCAAACAGTCACATTTATCGTCTACCAAGAAAATCTCAGGTGTCTCTAGAGAGGTTATTCAACATTGGCTACTACGCATCACTCATAATGCAAACAGTGTACTCACATGCTTATCACAAGACAAATATATGGCAAAACATTGCTCTTCTGTCTAGAATATGCCTGTTGGAGTTAACTGTAGCTTTCAACAAAAAAGGCAAGTCACTGGAAAATTCAAACAAACCATTCAAAACGCTTTGGTTAATCACTTCATTCTTCGACTAATGGTTACTGCAAAAATGAAGTTAGTCCTAATTAGTGAAAGTTTGTGGCTTATTGTGGAAATTTAGGTCTCCATCCTTCTACAAACTCCATAAACATCAGTTGAAAGATGTTCATCCTAATGTTTATGCATGAATGTTAAGTGGTATTACTCCTATTTTTCATACCTAGAACTATAAATTGGAGAAACATCAAATAAAACTACCGCTCCTTATTTTTATATCATATATTTACTAACCTCTGTATCATGAACTGTTGTGATGAAATATTCGCCAAACGTCCGATAAGTCCGCTTCATGCTTATAATCGCAGTACCGAAACGTTTATTTACTAGTTTATAATTCCCCTGTCATCGGTCTATATATATATATATAGGCATAACTGTCTATCACTCGCAGTCCAGTTTATCGTTTAAAATAAGAAACTTCCATTTCTTGTAGTTTTTTTGGATGAAAATGCGTAAGTCAAGATTTTAGAAAACCATAGGAATATTTATTTACTTATCTGATTGGACCAAAGTAATGACAACTTCTGTTTTATTGGTGAGTTTATCTAACTTAAATGATAAAAGCCATTTAATGATGGGACTACAGACTCATTTATATTACTGAATTTTGTAACAGGTATTTTATAAAAATAGAGACAAGTGTTCACATATTATTGCTATTCATTGTTTCTGTTCTCATAAAGTACTAATAAATTAATTCAACCTAATGTAATCAGATAATTGTCTGTACTACCTCTGTACATAATGTTTGATGTTCACAATTTGAAGATCTGTTATAGTATTAAAACTGTTCTAATTTTGTGTTGTTTATCTTGCTAATAATTTGATGTCTGTAAACCATATAACTTCCATGCATTGTGAATTATTATTGCAGAAGAATTCGAAGATGACACTACTTCATCTCTCTGGGGAATTCCTGAATACCTCATGGTGGAAAATCTCATGTGGGGTAAAGAAGAACTGGATTCACCAATACATTTTGAACAACTAGAAGCTCACTGTGAAATTCCAACTCTATCTCCAACACATCTTATTTGTGATGGTACGTGATTTACTCATAAATTCTTGAACGAAGTTTACCAACTTATATGATGCATTAGTGTTCCTTGTTCCCTATAAAAATTATGGCTCCCTAATCTCTTCTCAATTTGAAATATCCGCTTACAACTTTATCGAATATATTATTTCCAATAACGGTAGTTGAATTGAAATAAGACGTTCTGATCATTAATAGTTAATCATTAAAACTTAAAACACTAGTGATTTTCACCCCAACGTTTATTAATTGACTGTTGATCCTTTCACTGTGGCGTTCCAAATCCTTATTTAATGTTGGCTTATAACTACCTCAGAATTCGTGATTGCATTCTGCGAATCCCGTTTACCATGGGATGTAACCTCACCCAATACTATTAGCCAGGATACTTCACATTAATTAAAAGATGCTGATTGTTCAATATACAGTTTTTGTGCGTTTTGTGACTGCTTACTGATTATCATTATTCAGAACTATAAAATAACATAATTTTTGAATAAATAAACTTTTGTATATTTTATTTTTCTTTAGGCTCAGATACTGTTAACAATCATGATGGAATAAATTGTACTAATCGATTCTCGTCGCCTATCATAATAGAAAGCTATCTTCAGGCGTATGCTGCTTCAGCTTTAGTCTCACCGATTTGCATATTTCCTACTGTCGTTCCCAAAAATCTCTGGCCAGTCGTACAACAACATGCTAGGCGTTGGGGTTTGTTAAGTCGTGTGGAAGTAAAGCGTAATCCAGACCCTTCCAGTTTTCTTATCGTTTGTAAACGAGTCCCACTCTCTCGATTAAAAAGATCACTATACGATCAACAACAATATGGTTGCTTTTGTCTAATCGATAAAGGCAATCTTACAACTGAAGCTTTAAAGCGTTTGTATCAAGCTGATCCACTTTGTTTTAGTGAGGATGATTCAATAACACCAAACGATAACATTCAATCATCTGATCATATGACTAACTTCAACTTATCATCTTCCTCACCACCAACGTATTTCAGAACATCAGACGAGTACAATGATGAACCAGTTACTCGTTACGCTCGTGAATTCCTTTCTACGCATAAAACACGCATCAAAACAGAATCTAATGAGGATAATTGTAATCTAATCAATGATGATTGTGTACTTGTAACAGCAGAACTTAATCAACCATCAAATGCTATTGAAATATTAGATGATCTTCCTAAAACACTTATACCGGGTATAGATTTTTAGTAATTGATCTTTTTTTTTAATCAAATTAATAGAACTAGATCTTTCTTCAACTTTAGATATTTTGACACCCGGTACAATTTCATAAAATATTTTTTTTCTGACTATTTAATGATAACATATTGAAGAGCATTTTTATAGTTTTGCATTTACTCTGTTATTCTTTAGTTCACCCAGTGTTAATTCGTATCATCATTTTCGTACGCCATGATATATATATATATAACACAATTATTGTTTTGTATAAATGATTTGTTTTTCTTTTCGGCAATTATGGATCATCTGTCAAATCATGATAATAATTTTTCTTGATACTTTGTTCTTTTTTGTTGTTGTTGCTATTTTCTTTCTTTTAATGGTTTCTTTTCTTTTTTTGTGTGCGCAAATCGTTTCAATGTTTTCCTTTACATTACAGGTAAAATATTATTTTAGACGGTGAAAAAACAGATGGTTCATACGGTAAACATGTTTATTTGAATTGTTACGGTTAGTATTTCTATAAGCAGTTTTGTATAATAAGATACAAAATGACTAATAATTCTGTTTGTTTTATTTATGCTATTTATTTTTGTCGGTAATTCATCGTATTGGGTGATTCTGATTATTATCTTACTTTCAACTATCCAATTTAAATCAGGTGGTATTGAATATCGACTCATTTGATTATTATTGTTATGAGTCGTGTTTTCTTGTTACTACAAGTTCACTAATCTGAGATACTTATATATGATAGTTTGTGCTCAGCAAGGTTACTGAGAATCAAGATACGGATACGGTTTAATAGCATATTAAATGATATAACTAAGATGATGTATTAATGAGTTTAACATAATAACTAAATAAACTAGATCACCGTATACACGATCTAGGTTCACTTGACTCAACAAGCTGTCACTGATATTCTACTTGTATTTTAGGATAGGAATATACAATGTTTTGAAAATCCATCATAGTAGTTCAGCTTTAAGTATTTTCATTCGATGGGACAATCGTGTGACTGGTTACTCTAACCTTTCTCATCATAACATCTAAGGGTAAATTCAGATATTCTATGACTATCCAAAATGATCTATCACTATTGGTTCTCTTAACAAAATATACTAACGTCTAATAACATCCCTTATAGTGAATGAAATCAAATATTTTATTGATATCATTCGGATTATCTGTGTCGTCAAATAATTAGTATTCACTTGAAATAAGTAGGTTGCGAATATCATATCGAAATAATACTGAATAATAAGTGAAAAGTCATTGTCTAAACCTCACTATTGTATAATCTCACATTAATTGTTAAGCAGGTTCACTGGATTCTCAGCTTTACTGTTTCTATTAGAGGTACGAGGTGAAATGACTGATAATAACAAATTGTCACCAAATTCGAGAAATCACAGTATTTGTTGAAAGTAGACTTTTAGATATCTACGTCCCTGGGGGATCAATAGGCTACAACGTAGGACCAGACACATATACATCCGTCCAAGTTGCCATACCTCATTAGCACAACAAGATGAACACTAAATTCATAGAATTAGTTACTTCAATGGTTGTAATATATGAAAGAAAAATTGTTTATAAGTATATAGTACTGGAAGAATGAATTAGTTCGTAAAAAGAAAGGTATGAAGTAATTTTAATCTCATAGTATAAGGGCAGTCAAATAATTTATACAACGATGAACAAATTTCAAACGATTAAAAGCTTGGTGCTCACTTTTCTTGATGATCCTCCTTATTTATGTGCGTGTTTTTTCAGTCACATCTTTATTAGCGTTGACCGGCTAACGTACCTTCCACAATTCACTGTTCTGTGGGTAAGCAAGAACAAATTCGAATGGTGTGAAGAATCGATGCGGACAATTATGACTTGTTCCATATCTTGTAATTAAAACTACACATTTAGATTTCCCAAACATCATGGCATCGAGTTTCATTTTGAATACTTGTCTAATCTGAGAAAAAGTATTTCCAATTAATTATTCAGCGAAGTTTCTCATCCGAAGTTGAGAGCGTAGACTTGGATTGCTACGTAATTACTGGATGGTTTTATGCTCACCATGAGTCACTAAATTCTTGAAGTTATATATGTGTGCACCGTTGTATGGTCTGTAAGTAAAAGCCAGAATCTCTGAGCTTTGTTAGTTTCCCATTTCTTGTTAATTCTCGAGTGAGACCTATCTTTAACTTAAACACGATCTTTACTGGACACATTGAATACGTTATCTTTAAAATGATAGATTTGTGATATTCGAGTGGATAGGAATTCGAATTTCACCTCAGGGAGTTAACTTTTTCAAATTCAGGTATTAAAAGAAAAATATCAGATCAAATTATGAGCAAATGCACACAATTCTAGTTGTTTCTTTGAAGTGATATATTCAAGAAGTCTATTTTGTATTCTTATCTGTATAGGTGGTTGCAAGTAAATTTAGGATTCGAGGTATGTCTAATTCAATCTATAGGTTTGTCTTTGAGGATTTATTTATTTGAACACTAATATTTGTACGAGGGGGGCACCAGATATATATGCGCCACACAAAACAATGAGAACGGGAAGACAAAAAGAAGGTAGTGTGCGCATAAAGAAAGAAGGACAATAACGACCACAGATTAGTGTATGGTAGTGTAATATTAATAATAATAGCGACGGAATCGGAAAGGTACAACCATAATTCTTTCAGTTAAAGAAGTTACAACCACTTTTTATGAAGAAAGTAAAAGAAGGTTATAGCAGGATCGCCAGTGGCTTCTATTGAGCCATATCTCATAACGCCTCTAGCCACTGTGTGTAAGTCAATTATTCCCAATCTTCATGATTCAAAAATCTAATGTCAGCTTAAATTTAAACAGGATACATAAATATATTATTGTAACATGCTTGTGGAGATTGTCGGATTTCATGGTTTACCTTACTGATCGATTGTAGTCAATCAAGTATTTAAAACTACGAAGCACTGTACAGTTGTTCCGTCCTAATAAAGGCATCTTCTGAAGTGCATGCCTACATCCTCATTAGGGATTGAATCCAGGACTATCACCTCTACAACGAATGTTTAATCCTTAAATCACTAAGTTGTCACCTAGTGACACATTTTTATCTCAGGATAATTCTCTGTATCGGAAAACCATCAAAGCAAGCCAAACTTAACCCAGCATCCTATATCTTCGAAACAAGAGGAATTCGAGTAGTTTACCATACTTTGTGAAGCCTTTACATTACCCAAGCATACAAATTTTAATTATTTCCAAAGCGTTTAGTTACTACTTAAAATATACAAGTAGACAGTATTATTGTTACTACAAAACTGGTTTTCAATTGAACATAAACGTGGAATCTAGGGGTTTCCTGGATTGTTTATTTGAGTGTTATAAATTGGTGTTATTTATAATAAGAAGTTAAGTCACGTGTATATGGACCTTCCGAAGATTTGCATGGAAGTTAAGCGTGATTCTTCGCCTTGAGACAATCTAAAGTTGAACAATCTATCAATTTCTTATTTGGGAGATCCTGAAAGTGTTTGTTAGTGTTAATTTTCATTACCACGATGGCATGCTTTGTGATATATCAATATGGGATATCAGCACTTATAACATTTTATACATATTCTTTGTAACGCGTCAATCTTATTTTGGTTTCATCAAGATGATTTCTCGTACTTTTGCAAATTATTCAATACTGACGTTCTTCATTCATCTATAATTTCTGACTGTTATGGTGTAGAAATGAGTTGCTGGTTTATAACATTGATCAACTTATACTTCCTTGGGGGAACAATCAACCAACTGGCTTTAAATTTTAGAATAGCGGGACAGTTTACTAAAACTGTATAACGAATCTGTTGCTAATCGATAACTCTCCTCGCTGTTGTGTAAAATTACGTCAGTCAACTAAACTACGTTGGGTATTATGCTGACAGTTATGTACTCTTGGCAACCTACTTCATATACGTGAATTGTAAACCCTCTCTCAATAATTAAAAGTAATGTAGTGAACGAGAACACACAAACGGGAACAAGTGAATGCATTTGAATATGAAATTACAGAATGATTTAATCAAATCTGAGAACCATACAATAAATACTTCATTTACAAAATGTTAATCAATCGTCTCAGGCTTGATTGTTCCTGAGTTTCCACACCAATCATTCTCTGTTCTCATTCTCTTTTATTCGATCTTCCTAACCTTCTGCCACCAGGCATCTCACTTTCGATTAATGATACATACTACTTATATCTATCGACATCAGTAGCACACACCAGAATAGTAATACCTATGTAGTTCATTTATTTTAATTAATAAAGCCTTATGAGTCTACATTAAAACAGACATGTTAGGACCGAATTAACTAATATACATGTATAGTGTGTTAACAGGTTAAAACATGTAATCACTTGCAAAAAGAATGAATGTATATTATGTGCTTCGTAATTAATATACTCTAGAAATAGAACCTGGCACATATATATACATCATTTCAAGTTGCCATATCATATCATCACAACAAGATGAAACTGATAAAACAGATGTGAAAGTAGTAACAGTATCAGTGGTAACAGAAAAGTTTAACTATAAACAATACAATTAGACAAGGAATGAATTCGTGGGATAAAAAGTTTAAGATGATTCTAAAAATCAACAAACGAAGGGAAGATAAAGTGTGAATGCTCCTGGACAATTCCAAAGGATTATGATTCCTGTCACATAAAGTATTTTGCCATAAATTAAGATATTCACTCAAGCCACAACAAGGTATTCTATACCGACTGGCATGACTAAGTTCAACTTCTGATTACTTCATAAACTGGTACCACGTCTTGATTTCACCACTTCTAGTTTTCTATTAACCAACTCTTACACCGGAAAACAAAACCTGTTAAGATAAACGATGATTTGGCACAAGTATTACATTTCCTAACCATATCAGTCAATAAAAATGCAAGTTTGTTTTCAACTTCTGGACATCTCATCTAAGTTTGAGTTGATACAAGATGATAAAAGCCAACCGATCCCTCACCTTCGTTCCATCAAGACTAACAAAATAAGTTGATATTAAAAGAAGATATAAGTCAACATCCAAAATATTCATAATTTATTAAACTATGATGAAATGATCATATGGGGTTCTAATTTATTCTTGTTTCTTTTTCTGTTTATCCTGAAATTACTTTTCATACATACCGAATAGAAACATGCTCATACACCCAAAATTGATCGGCAAATTCTAACTACTAACCCATTAATATGTAGTGTGGCGTCGAGTCGCGGTTGACTATGATCACCACT